CATTTATACAATAACAACAAATGGCACTTCAACTTATTTAATAACAGAGAACTAGAGAGCGAAACTACAAAAACCAATGAAGTAACAAAAAACTAACAAACAACAAAAAATACGGGTTTCAAGGCTGATTAATTCACATTCGTCTGCGGGAATGAAACTGTTGTTGATACATATATGTAGCTTTAATAAACCTTATGTAAATAAAGGGGCCAACACGCGTACAACTACATACATAAAAAACCAAGAAATAATAGAGACTTTTACAAACATACTACATTCCAATGTTAAGAGATAAACAATACATACGTATTTGTATGAATATGAGTAGATATAATTGAATGTATGTATGTATGAATACATTTTGTAACAAATGCAATGAGCATATGCATATGCATGCTTGTATGTATGTGAATACTCATATGTGTAAATATATGTTAGACCCTGCTAGTGATGGCGAACTGGAACTAAGGCGACAGACAGTGTGTCGGTTAGGACAAGCGAGGTGGACACAATTATTTACGGATATTTTTGGGTATTTTTGGTCCTAGTTTGCGAATTATTTCGAAATTTGCATAGGTACTTTTATGGAAAAATGCACCACACTGTCAGCAAAAAAAAATATATATATTAAATATCAACGGTAATGTGTAAGCTCTTGAAATTTGCGCTTTGCTATAGTGAATGGGCTATAGAACTGCATACCAAAAATATTTCTAGAAATTCTGAATAAAAATTGTAACATTTTGGTGAAAATGTGTTAAATTTTTATAATTTTTGTACAAATTTTGAAAGTGCATTTATAGGGTGTTTTTTCTACAGCTAGATTTTTATAAAAAAAAATATTAGGCATTAAATAAACAAAAAATATAGCCAAAACTGGCAAAAATGAAGTCTTTAATTTCTGCTACCCGTTTGTATATGTCATTTGCTCCACACGACACACTGTGAGGTATGGTGTAGCATGTAATGTACGTACACAAATATAACATACTCACGCCAACGTACTCGCATCGTTATTGTTGCTCAAATGGGGGAGCGGATAATTAATTAATCATATTTGATTGTAAGAAATTTGTAAGTGTATTTATGTCTGTTCGAAAAACGAACATACAATTGTTATATATGTATATATATATATCTATGGATATACATAATAACATATATGTACATATATTGTCCACATACTTACATATGTATCATAAGTGTTGAGTTTTTACATATGATAATTTAAATACTTAAAACAGATTTTCAAAAAAAAGATAGTTCAAATTTTAAGAAAACTGGATTGTGGATGCGAGAACAACATAAATGTTACGTATGAGGAACGAAATGTAAAATCCTTTTTTTGTATTTACATATAGGTACATACATACATGTGTACATATATTCATATGAGGCTATAAAGCTGGTGATATATTCTTTTAAAGTTTAATTTTTCAGCCCTTTCAAGTTTCTTAACATTGCCATCTGCCCAAGGGCAGTTGATGCCCCAACTTTGGAAACACGAACAATTTGAGCTAATACATACACTGACGGAAAAAAATATTAAAATCAAATAGAAACGTAATTGATCTTACTATAAACGTCAACGAACGTACTGTATATTGGTAAATATTCAATTCAATTACGCGCGTATTAAAATGACCGCTGGCTGAAAAAGCACCCGCGAAGTGCATAATAAAGACAAAAACTAAAAAAAAAATTTAACTTGCATATTTTGCCTGCAGTGGAATTCGAGCCCGACCATCTCCGGATATCAACAACTTGTGGCAAGCATCTTTGCGCACTCAGCTATACCCAGTCATATAAATTTGCTTTCAAATGTTGAATATCCATCAACACCACAGCACGCGATTTGTACTATGTATGTATGTGTGTGTTGTCACCGTTCTCAGAGCGGCGCTCTGCATGCTTGGGGTGCATATGTACACTCAAGGCATAACAAGGTAGAAGTGATTTCGACATTTCTCTCTTTTGAACTGCGACTGAAATGTCAACTCTTAACCCTATACTATTTAAAATTTATTTTTATTTTTTTAATTTAAAATTTCAATTGTGTGACTGATTTTTAATTCATAATAAAATGAAAAAGAATTACGTGCGGTGCGTTGTGTTTGCTAAGAGCCAGGACAACAAACTTGTGCGTTATTTTAAACCTCCGAATTGTCAAGTGAAGCGACAACGAGGGGCAAATTGCTGCGAAGATTCATTAGGAGACTCTTCACGTGTGCGCGTGACTTTATTTGATGCCCATCGCAGCCGAGTATTTCTAAGCGGACGCGTTTGTTCCCAGGTGCAGGATGTATCTTACCGAAAATTAGGAAAGAAAATCCCCCACTCATATACATGGATAGACCAAATTTCAAATGGTGGTCTTATAAAACCTAAACCAAAATTCCTTGTCAACATAAAGTAACTTAAAATAATCTTTAATAAATTTAATGGAAAGAAAATTTCGAATTGCAAAAATTTAATAGCTAAATTCTTGAAGTTAATTTCTGATTTAAATTTTGAAGGATCGAACTTTTTTTTTAATGTCTAATATACTTAAGAATTAAGTATTTGAATAAAAGAATAAATGCTCAAACAGATTGGGGGAGTAAAATGCAAGAAAATTATCAAAACAGTTTTATAAATACATAAGTGTGTTTCATTTTACAAGTAAGTGTGTTTCATTTAGTGTGTAATTTTGTGAAAATGCAATAACTAAAACGAGGCTGATTCTAATAAGATTTTATATATTTTTATATTTACAGAAACTTTCATTTCAAAGATATTGAGTCTTATCAAATGTGGTAAATATATATCAAAGGGTTAATTTCTTTGTTTACATTTTCTGACATTACAGTCAGCTATGAGAGAGCTCGACTGAATTGTCACTTCTACCTTGTTGAATATGCCTTGTGTACACTTACATATTCATACTCAGTTTTGAACCGTCAAATACGTGCGTAATAAATTTTGTATGAAAATATTATTTTTAAATACGAACATTTTTCAAATACGAACATTATCAAACGATAATCAAATATAAAGTATTCATTTTTACTATGCATTATTTCCCTCAGTGTATGCGTATGTAAAAATTCATACATACATATGCGTGTTCATAGGTGTACTGATATTTACTTAAAACTTGGTTTTTCGATGTAAATTATGCATTCGTCTCTTTTGTTTTTCCAACAACTTTCGCCTTCGAAGCTTTAACAGCGTTTCTGTTTTCCACTAAGCAAAACTGGTTGCTTTAATTTATCAATGTTGTAATGCATAAAGCGGATGTTACATACATAAATTACATGCCTCTTTGAAGGGCGTCACGGCCAGGTCAGTACGCAGCTGGCATTGAATGCCGCGATCAGCCTTACAACAAAATCCAAATGCACACAAATGTCGAGAAATTAGTTGTAGTAGTTTTGTTAGCGTACTACATTGTGAGTTTACATCCATATGTAAATATGTGTGTCATGCTCTGCTGGCGTTGACACTGGCATTACAGGCGAATATGCAACATAAATACATAGATAGCGACAGTGAAGCGTGTTAGTTGCGTATACGCACTCGCACTCTCGTCTCGTCATAAAGGTTGGCAAAGGTAAGCATTTATTAAGAAATACCAATTATAAATGGAGGCTGGCGCAGCGGGGCGTAGCGACCTCAAAGATCTTGCCTTCACGCCAGCACCAAATGGCATTTATTTATCACCTGCGTCATCAACAGCAGATGACTGAAGTTCACTCTTTTATGCGAAAATGCGATAGGCAAAAATTAGCGCTTTGTTTTGCACAAAAGCGTGAACTATGTTGTTGCCTTAAATCGAAATTTCAAACAGTTCAGCCACAGCGCAGCCTCAAATATTCGCTGCGCTTGGTTTTTGCTTTCGCTTTAACTGCCGAAGCGATGTACGAACAGCACAGCACAGTTTTCTTGCTCTTTGCATTTCAGTCAGTATTTCAGCTGTGCGTTTGTGAAACTAAAGCTGAAATTAGTCGAGAACGCAGAACGTATACTTAAACGCAGTCTGTATAGGCACAATTTTGTCTATTACTGCAGCCCTCAGTGTTGCTTACTACACTGTTGCCACTCTTCAATGCCTTTTCATTAACTTACCCTTTCAACTACAATTTTTCGTGCTATAATAGATTGTAGCTAAATATAAACTACTTAGTTTTCAACAAAAACCTTATTCAATAGTAAATTTCAAATATTTTAAACATATTTTGAATATGAACTTTGAACTTTTTTACCATCTGCAAAACTGACGAAGTGGCAACCATCTAAAGAAGGAGAAATCAGCTGACACGGAAAAATCTAAATTCCGCAGATTTCTGCGCTACGGGCTACAACTACAGAAAAATTCTGCGGTGTTGAGTTTTCATTTACATTGCGCTTTGGTAAGACAGATCGTGTCAGCTGACTCGGGTTTACGTACAGGTAGGTTTTCGTTCTTGACTAATTTCAGCTTAAAAGTGCGAAACGTTGTCATGTTTGTTGTAAAAACTGTCGAATATTTCACATTTTCGCACTTTCGCAGTTTCGCTCAAACGCGCATAGTTTCGCCTCAAAGATTGAACTCTAGTATGCTAAATTTATGTTGGAAAATGATTGTTCAGACAAAAAAACAACAACATGTAGACAGCGTACAAAACTGAGCAGTGCGTAATTAATCTAAGCGGAATTTTCGTTAGTCGTGCGACTGTCTGGTGTGTTTGTGAATTACGTTTCTATTTCACCCTCTTAATGCTCCAAATGAACCAATGAAAGACGCACAAAATTTTGGCACTTTTAAATGCGTTCTACTCAACTTGTACAAACATAGCCACTCTACACATTCTATTCAATCAGACTGTGAGCAATCTAGGTCAACAGACGGCGACCGACAATGAAAATTTTCGACATACATACAAATTAGAGATTTAAATAATATGTACATATGTAGGTACATACAAATGTACAACTATATGTATTTTTAAAAATTACTGGTAATTAGGTCATTTACTTACCCTCTTTTTGCGTGGCGCCTCCTCTTTGAAGTCTACAACAATGCCCTCATCCGAAGTGGACACTGATGTCGTGCGAATGCGGGCGCTCGCATCGTTCAATATGGCGCTTGTGTTGAGGCCTGCGTGGCCATCGTCGCTAAGCGGTGGAGAAGAGGAGCCCGAACTCCAGGAGCTACCCGACGACGATGAGCTGCCCGGACTAGAGCCAAACCACTTTTCTGAAAGCAAAAACAAGTCAAGAAAAAATTTTGAGTAAGGTGTGAAAGAGTTTAAGGATGGTAAGGTTTTGGCTAATATTGAGTTATTATATTCAGCCTCATTGCGTAAGTCGAAAGTTGGGCTAAATTGTACGACTCGACAACATTGGCATTGTCTACGGTCGTGCTAAAATAAGTAAACGGCGAAAATCGTCGAAAACTATGCAGTGCCGCCAAGTTTTTCCGTTTTAATATACTAGTCGACTGGAGATTTTAGGCAATGGCGTGAAATTTTCGATACGATTCGACTCTCGAAAAACGACTTTCATTCGATACGACTCTTGCAATGATGCTGATTATCTATTTGTGAGATTGCGATTATTTTTATTCTAACCTGCATTTTTCGGTGAATGGGAGAGCTTCATTAAAATCATTGCTGCATGGCATTCTTCCATATCTTCCTTGTCGCCGCACTGGCCGCCAAAGCAATCGTTTATATATGGCTGCGGACGTTTGCGTGAGCTGAAAGTAAATTAAAAAAGAAAGTGTGGATTAATTAATGTATTTTCATAAATGATGTCATCTAAAAATACAACATGAGATAAGAAAACGTACTTTTTCACAGGAAACCTATAGCAGCGTGTAGTAAGTGTTGTAATAGACAGCGAATTTCCTTTTTATTTTGTAGTTCATTATAAAAGATTAGAAAATAAACGAATGTGCTTTAAGTTTTAAATACATATCGTCACTAGACACGAATAAAGGCGCGAGCTCAAAAGCTGACGGCGAAAAAGACGCATAAAAATACTTTAGCGTCAAAAACTCTTAACATACTTCGCCGAAGTTTTTCATAAGCATCTTTTTCGCAAAATTTTTTTACGCGCCTTTTTTCGCCATCAAAACACTATCGCGCCTTTATTCGTGTGTAGTAACGATATGCTACAAGTAGGTCCTTTCTCGGCAACGACATCAAGTAGTCCATACAATTGTATTAACCAGATACGTCATTTTCTATATTAGTGAGGTTTTTAAAGAGTACCGTTCATTAAGCGTAATTAGTAGAAACGGGTAACGATTCCCAAATGCTCAAAGATTTACGAAATCGTGTGTGTTTTATTTAATTTTCCCGCCTATAGATGTGTATGTGTGCTGTACATGAATTCGCTTTACCTTAAAAAAAAAAAATAAAAATTAAATCTAGTCTCTAACGCTTGGCAGGGGGTAAGTTGAAGAAAAAGCTGTCAAAACAAATGAGTGGCAAATGTAAATTAGACAGGGCACGTGTGACTATTTCGCTGCCACATACTAATCAATCCTAACCCATTTGTTCACTACTCTCGCGGCTACATTGAGATATTTTCTCATAATTTCTATGGACACTTCTCTCACCTATATAAATATGTACATAAGCATGCTCATAAGACTGTGTAAACTAAAACCATATTTTTTGTTTTCGTTGTCGGTCACAAAAAATAGCCGTGGCAAAATTTCAGCCCCTGCACAAGGGTATATTAATTTTGTTCACATAACGGTTGTTTGTAACAGCCAAAACGAATCGAGATAGATATAGACAAATGTATACATAAATGATCAGGATGAAAAAAGAAATCGATTAAGCAATGTCTGTCTGTCCGTCCGTCTGTCCGTGTACACGATAACTCGAGCAAAAATTGAGATATCTCAACGAAATTTGGTATGTAGGTTTCCCTTAATCTAAGGTAGGTTGGTATTGAAAATGGGCGAAATCGGACTTTAACCACGCCCACTTCCCATATAACAGTAATTTCCATAAATACGAAAACTGCGATATTTTAGTAACTACTGAAGATAATTCGCTCAAAATTGATATTTACAATAATTTTTAGACGAGAAACAAGAATATTATAAATTTTTGGAAAATGGGCGTAGCCACGCCCACTTA